AAGCAAATTCCTTTGTTCAACCATACATTCCACAAATATTGCGTCATTACTTTTCCAAGAGGTTTGGAGAAAAATGTGGTTGAATTCTTCTCCTTTTGGAAGTATTTCTGAGGTTCGTATTCAAGAATATTTTTGGTAAAAAAGCCAGATGGTTCATTCTGTCCAATTCTGGATTAAAATTTAGTAAACAGGTTTGTGCTTCAGAAGAAATTTTGCATGGAAACTATTTTCTCCATCTCTCACATAATGCGACTAGGTTCATGGCTGTGTTCCATCGATTTTTCAAGATGCATATCTACACATTCCCATAGCAGCAGACAGCAGAAGGTTTTTAAGATTTGCCATACAAGATCAGGATCAAATTCTGCATTTCAAGTTCGAGGACTTGTCCTTTTGGCCTTTCTTCGGCTCCAAGAGTCTTTTCCAAGATACTCATGGTCATCACAGCAGAATTGCGGAAAAGAGGTCTCAACATCGTATCGTACCTGGACGACTTGTTACTTATAGCTTAGTCAGGCATACAACTGGTAAAGGTCGTCAGAAGGGCTTTTATCACCCTCCAAAAACCTGGTGGATTATAAATGAAGACAAGTCAGAACTAACCCCATCTTGTTCTAACCTTTTTTTGGGTCAAATTTTAGACTCCATTCAGATGAAGATTTTCCTTCCAGAGGAGAAGATAAACAAAATCAAGGTCACCATTATCAGCTTGCAAAAGAAAATGTTTTGCACTACAAAAGTAGCTATGAGACTTCTGGGTCTGTTCACTTGCCACAATTCCAATCGTAAACTGGGCCAAGGCACATATGAGACCATTGCAGAAGAATATCCTCTCGTCCTGGGATAGGAAAACTGCATCTCTAGACCAGTCCATAAATCTAAGCTCTTCGGCTCGACTAAGTTTACATTGGTGGATGACTTCACATTTTTTTTATCAGAAGGCCTTTCCTTTCGATTAAAAAATGTTGTTTTTGTAACAGACACATCAAGTATGGGATGGGGTGCTCACATGGGTACAAAGCTGACAAAAGGCATTAGGAATCTGCAAGATGCAAGGAAGTCTTCAAACTTCAGGGAACTAAAAGCCATCTGGTTTGCACTTTTCTCCTTCAAAAGACATCTGATGAGTCATCACACTCGGGCGTTTTAGCCGCGAGGCAAACAAGGCATTTGCCTTGGGCGGCATTTTTCAGGGGGCGGCAAAATTCCCAGGGCAAATGCCTTGTTAGCCTTGCGGCTAACAGACATGCCGAGCGGGCGGGCGGCTGGCGAGGGAGCTCTTCCTCTGAGCTGTCCGCTCAGCTCCCTCGCGCGCCGCAGAGTGAGGCTGGGAGCCGGAATATGACGTCATCTTCCGGCTCCCAGCCTCACTCTGCGGCGTGTGAGGGAGCTGAGCGGACAGCTCAGAGGAAGAGCTCCCTCGCCAGCCGCCCGCCTAGCCCAGCGCCGCCCGCAGCCACTGGACCACCAGGGAGATAGAGAACCCCCCCCCCCCAGCATTCCCAAAGGTAAGGAGGGGGGGTGAGGTAAATAAATAAAAAAAATGTGAGTGTGTGTTTGTTAGTGTGTGTGTGTGTCTGTTAGTGTGTGTGTGTGTGTCTGTTAGTGTGTGTGTCTGACTGTGTGTCTGTTAGTGTGTGTGTGTGTGTGTGTGTGTCTGACTGTGTGTGTGTGTCTGTTAGAGTGAGTGTGTGTGTGTCTGTTAGCGTGTGTATGCGTATTTGTCAGTGAATGTGTGTATTTAGAAGGCGGGGCGGGGGGAAGGGTTGGGTGGGGCTGGCGCGGGGGTGGAGGGGCGCCTGAGTTTTGTCCTGCCTAGGGCAGCACAAAACCAGGATACACCACTGATCACACTTAGATAAGGTCGGACAATTCAACCGCGGTGGATTATGTAAACCGTCAAGGGGGGACACGTTCGATTCTTCTGCAACAGTTATGCTCCAACATAATGCATTGGTCAGAAATACACCTTTTATCAGTATCTGCAGTCCACATAAAGGGAGAAAGAAATACGTTTGCAGACACTGTCAGCAGGAATCATCTGAAACCGGGAGATTGGTCTCTTTCTCCTCTAGTTTTTCATGAAATTTTGGTAAAATGTGGAATTCCAGTGATAGATCTCATGGCTTCCATGGAAAACAAGAAGACGGACCAATTTGCGACCATAAATTCAACAGTCAAGCCCGACTTCCTTGATGCGATGTCGATTTCAGTGTGAATTTTTTTTTTTTTCCACTATTCCCTCAGGTTATCCTCATCCCGTGTATTCTACAAAAAACTTCCAGGACAGATCAAGGATGATAGCAATACTTCAGGCCTCAAAGAAGTTTGTTCTCCGTTCTACTGCACCTATCCAACAAGGTGTTTGCAAAATTCCTATGTCGGAAAAAATTCTGGAACACAATCTGGTTCCGCTGAACACCCTCCTACACACTTTCCAATTAACAGCCTGGTGTGGCGAAACCAACCTCGCCACTGTGAACTGGAGAAGCCTGGTTGCTCGCCTGCTCCCTTTGGACTATGGCCCTGCAGGTTAAACCGTTTATTTCCCCTGCAGAAAGGCTTATTTGTGTGATCTGAGTGCCATTCATCTAATAATGTGCACTCAGATCCCAGCTATCTGGGGATATGTGAAATGTCTGTGTGTTATGTGTAAATGTGACTTTATGTATTTTAAAGTGTTTTGTGTCTTTTTGCAACCATGTGCTTAATGGAGTCTTGTGTCTATCCTGGGAGATAATTGAATTACTCTCCAGGATAGAAGACTCTGAAAATGGTTTGGGCCAGAAAGCCATGCTTCATTTAGTCACAAAGGACTTTCCCTTAACTTTTGAACCCCTGTTCTGATTCGTGCCATTTTTTTATATGTTGTTCCCCTGAATGGATTGATTATGAAAATGTATGTTTTATGTTGGTGACATGTATATTTTAGAAGTTATAAATGTTGTGTAAAAACTGTATTCCTCTGCCGGTGATAATGAGATTACCCATTGTGTTCAGTAATCATATCACCTGCAGAGGGGAGGATTTTGTGTGGGAGTGTCTGGGTGTATTGTACGGATTGATTGGTTGTTTTGTAACGCCCTGTGGGCTGTACTATGTTTGTGGATTGGGAATAAAAGAGACTGTATGTGACAGTACAGGGAGTTCCTGTTTTAACCCTCAAAGTGAAGTGTCGTCTCATTATTGGGGGAAGGATTCATTGTATGCTGTTACAGTTTGACTGCTAGGAGAGTAAACCTATTCGTATGGTTCCTATTCAACTGTCTACAGCATTCATATGCTTGAGAGCATTCATATGCTCCTACAGTTCGGTGGTTTTGGTGTCTGCTGCAGTGCTTGGAGTCCTCAGGAAGTGCTAGGAGCATCCTTCAACGGAGGTACCCAGTCGGGGTGCCAGGTGATCCGTTACACCTGGTATCTGAACTCCAGGACCTGAGACCAAGGGGATTCAGCCCTGATGTAGTGTGTGGCGAAACCGACCTCGCCACTGGGCATTGGAGAAGACTGATTGCCAGCCTCCTGCCATGTGACTATGGCCCCTGGGATGTATTGCCCTTTAAAGACATGATTTGGGCATAATGGATTTGTGTTGTGCTGCTGCTGGCCCTTTAAGAACCATCTGGGGACATACTGTGGAGTTACTGGGTGGCCACCATTTCCTGTATCAGAGGCACATGGTGAGAACAATGGATGAAGCACATGGTAAGAACAATGGATGGCGGCCATTTTAACTCACAGACACTGTTTGGACTTTTCAACACGGTGCCATCTCGCCGGTATTTGGTGCACAGAGACATCGTGCAGTGGTTTTGGACTATACAACAGGGGACACATTATACAGTAATTGTTTTTCATTTAGCCTGCATATGTTCTGTGGAATCTGCATTAAACTGTATCTTCAAAGTACTGAACGGATCTGGGTGAATTTTGGATATGTAGTTCACCCAGATCCCCTGGTTCCAAGGATATATGGGGTTATTGCATGTTTTGGGGTCCCTGTGATGTGTTTTACGATACTGTATTTCTCTGCCTGTGATAATTGGATTAACCATTGTGTTCAGTAATCATATCACAGGCAGAGGGGAGGATTTTGTGTGGGAGTGTCTGCGTGTATTGTACAGATTGATTGGTTGTTTTGTAAAACCCTGTGGGCAGTACTAAGTTTGTGGATTGGGAATAAAAGAGGCTGTATGTGCCAATACAGTCAGTTCCTGCTTAACCCTCAAAGGGAAGTGTCGTCTCATTATTGGGGGAGGATTTATTGTATGCTGTTCCAGATTAACTGCTAGGAGTGTAAACCTATTCGCATGGTTTTTCCTATTCGGCTGTATACAACATTCATATGCTTAAAAGTACTCATATTGTATATTCTGTTACATTTTACGCTATGTTCTAATCAATATTATTTATTTTATTACAGATATCTAGCTATTGATTTTATGTGTACAGAAGCCTGAAGTGGTAACATAACACTGATTTATGTGTGTGCTCTCACCTATAAATATGTATTTGCACTGTATTCCGTTAAATCCAGCCATTCTAGGGTACATGGATTGTTTCTCCTTTCTTGTGTACTGGGTTTGTGTGGTTCCTACATTATCCTGACATTAAAAGGAACCTATAGACCTGTAACAAAACATGGCTTTATTTATTTATTTATCCAGGATGGATAAATTTGGACCAAGCCTTGAAAACTATTCTTGCCCATAGGGCTAATTTATAGCCTGAGACCAAAACAGCAGCTGTGGCTCCTTCTGGCTCTCCAGATACCTTTCACTCAAAGGTTCAATGGGAATCCTATGCTTTGTTGTGGTTTTCTAAATCAGGTAGACATCCACTTTGAAATTAACCCACACTCATATCCTACTGATAGAGCCAAACCTGTAGCACTGAATAGAGCTCTTGCTTGGGTCAATCCTCTTTGGGAATCTAACATGTGACGAAGTTTCCCCTTCGCCACTTGTGCCTGGAGAGGACTAATTGCCTGCCTCCTGCCATGTGACTATGGTCCCTGGGAGACTTTGCCAGTTAAAAAGACTATTTGGGCTTATTGGCTTTTAAAAGACTGTTTCTGCCCTTTGATTCCATGGGAGCATGTGTCTCTTCCCCTCCCCCTCTAATACCTACAGGGAGTGCAGAATTATTAGGCAAGTTGTATTTTTGAGGATTAATTTTATTATTGAACAACAACCATGTTCTCAATGAACCCAAAAAACTCATTAATATCAAAGCTGAATATTTTTGGAAGTAGTTTTTAGTTTGTTTTTAGTTATAGCTATGTTAGGGGGATATCTGTGTGTGCAGGTGACTATTACTGTGCATAATTATTAGGCAACTTAACAAAAAACAAATATATACCCATTTCAATTATTTATTATTACCAGTGAAACCAATATAACATCTCAACATTCACAAATATACATTTCTGACATTCAAAAACAAAACAAAAACAAATCAGTGACCAATATAGCCACCTTTCTTTGCAAGGACACTCAAAAGCCTGCCATCCATGGATTCTGTCAGTGTTTTGATCTGTTCACCATCAACATTGCGTGCAGCAGCAACCACAGCCTCCCAGACACTGTTCAGAGAGGTGTACTGTTTTCCCTCCTTGTAAATCTCACATTTGATGATGGACCACAGGTTCTCAATGGGGTTCAGATCAGGTAAACAAGGAGGCCATGTCATTAGATTTTCTTCTTTTATACCCTTTCTTGCCAGCCACGCTGTGGAGTACTTGGACGCGTGTGATGGAGCATTGTCCTGCATGAAAATCATGTTTTTCTTGAAGGATGCAGACTTCTTCCTGTATCACTGCTTGAAGAAGGTGTCTTCCAGGAACTGGCAGTAGGACTGGGAGTTGAGCTTGACTCCATCCTCAACCCGAAAAGGCCCACAAGCTCATCTTTGATGATACCAGCCCAAACCAGTACTCCACCTCCACCTTGCTGGCGTCTGAGTCGGACTGGAGCTCTCTGCCCTTTACCAATCCAGCCACGGGCCCATCCATCTGGCCCATCAAGACTCACTCTCATTTCATCAGTCCATAAAACCTTAGAAAAATCAGTCTTGAGATATTTCTTGGCCCAGTCTTGATGTTTCAGCTTGTGTGTCTTGTTCAGTGGTGGTCGTCTTTCAGCCTTTCTTACCTTGGCCATGTCTCTGAGTATTGCACACCTTGTGCTTTTGGGCACTCCAGTGATGTTGCAGCTCTGAAATATGGCCAAACTGGTGGCAAGTGGCATCGTGGCAGCTGCACGCTTGACTTTTCTCAGTTCATGGGCAGTTATTTTGCGCCTTGGTTTTTCCACACGCTTCTTGCGACCCTGTTGACTATTTTGAATGAAACGCTTGATTGTTCGATGATCACGCTTCAGAAGCTTTGCAATTTTAAGAGTGCTGCATCCCTCTGCAAGATATCTCACTATTTTTTGACTTTTCTGAGCCTGTCAAGTCCTTCTTTTGACCCATTTTGCCAAAGGAAAGGAAGTTGCCTAATAATTATGCACACCTGATATAGGGTGTTGATGTCATTAGACCACACCCCTTCTCATTACAGAGATGCACATCACCTAATATGCTTAATTGGTAGTAGACTTTCGAGCCTATACAGCTTGGAGTAAGACAACATGCATAAAGAGGATGATGTGGTCAAAATACTCATTTGCCTAATAATTCTGCACTCCCTGTATACCATTGTTCTCCAGCAGGGTGTTGTCCCAGGGACACTGCCAAACCATTTGAAACAAACTGTTTTGTCCCAAATAGGACTTTTACCTAACTTTTGAACTACTGGAGGGAATTGTATGATTTTGGGGTATGTTTATAATTAAAGTGTGCTGAGTTCGAATATGTGATTTATGTTTGTGGCATGTATATTTTGGAAGTTATTAATATGTTGCATAAAGTGTATTTGTCCTGCCTGTGATAAATTACATTAACCCATTGTGTTCAGTAATTATATCACAGGCAGAGGGGAGGGATTGTATGTTGGTGGTGGGTGTGTTTTACGGTTTGCCTGTAAAGGATTGGTTGTACTGTGTCCAACCCTGTGGGATGTCCCCTTGCATGGGGACTTGCATAAAAGCCAGTGTGTGGTCATTAAAATCAGATCATCTTGTACCTTTCTTGAAGCCTTGGCTCATGTTTGGGGGAAGGGATACCTACACTCTGAGGATTGCTGTAATCACTTACTTCTCAGAGTAAGCTCTTGCAATAGCTTGATTTGTTCCTGCTATGCTCTCTGGATTTAGGAGAGGTTCACCCACTGGGAGCTGGATCCTGGTCGTGGATCCAGGGTGGGTGGAGACGGCGAGACCCTGGCGCAACTGTATCGCTGGAAGTGGGATCTGCAGTGCTGATGGTGTCGGTTGGAGTGCTTGGAGTCCTCAGCGAGCACTAGGCGCATCGATTGGCGGAGGTACTCAGTCGGAGTGCCAGCGTTCCGTCACATTTGGTGGCAGCGGCGGGATGGCGTCCTAGTGCGAGGACCAGCAACTCGGAGACACCGTTAACATGTGGAGTTACGGATTTATAATTGAGGGCAACGCTAGCACTTGTGCAGTGCCCCTGTCTATGGAGGAACTCGAAGGGATGAAGCAAGCTAGCCCCCGGGTAGCGTTACCCTACGAGGAGGAGTTCCTATGGAGACTTCAAAATGCCATGGCTCAGGAGTGTGGCCCGATTTCAGCCGAGGAGGAGCTGGCCTGGAGAGATGGGATACAGCGAGACCTCTGGCAGGAGGCCTTGGAGTGGACACAAGGTCCAGGGGGAGAGAATCTCCCAAGCGAAGCACAGTGCAGTCAGAAACAAACGGCGCTGAGGAGGCCCTTCCTAGGGTATCTGTCCCAGAGAGAGTGGGTGCTGGAATTGCAGCGGTTGATCAGAAAAGAACTGTGGCTGGATGAGGCTTACCGTGCGCTACGGTGGTACTCGGTCCAGAGGTGCCCCTGGATAGCTGAGAGTGAAAGGCCAGAGGGCCGTGATTACAATGGCCCTGGTCTGTTATAGGAGGCATTGGAGGAGGACTGTGACTTTGGCAGCACCGAGGAGTCCCGGCATTGGGACATCTGGGGATGGCGATTGCATGCACTGGAGCTCCCTGATACTACTGGACTGGGACCAGATATCAACCGCCTGATCACAATCGAATGGGAGCTAGAATAGGAGTACGATCAACTGTTCGACTTAGCCCAATCACCGACCCTTAGCCCAGAGGATTACCTGTACACCGTACCCTCTTCTGTCCAACCAGCCCCAGAGGTGAGCAACCTTATAGAACGGTCCTGGGAAGGCCCACAGATGGCAGGTGGAGATGGGACAGAGGTCTCTCCACCGGCCCTACAGGGATGCTGGGTACCCGGCCCAGATCCCCAGCAGCAGTGCATCTCACAGGGAGAGGAGACAACTGGTCTCTCTCCCCAGCGGCGGCCTGAGTTCCAGGAGGAGGTGATGGTAGATCCCTCCACCATACAGCAACCAGCGTCCTGGGGAGTGGGGGCAGCCGGCCTCCCTCTCACACCGCAGCAGGAGATACCGGGTGAGGGGGAGAACAACCCTAACCACACTGGCGCAGATGGGACCGTGGTCTCTGTGCCAGTCCTACAGGGATGCTGGACGGGCGGTCCAGATCCCCAACTATCCCTGCAGGGATACCAGGAGGAGGAGGTAAGCAAGCCCTCCCCTCCACGGCTACAACCCGACCGGGTCCTGGGGACAGTGCAATACCCACTGACCCCTCCCAGCAGAAGAGCTGGCACCTGAGCAGAGCGCCGCTGGCCTCAGCCCTACCCTTGTACCTTGCCCAGAGCCTGACACCCTGCAGGCTATCCCAGCAGAAGAGCTGGCACCTGAGCAGAGCGCCACTGGCCTCTACCCTACCCTTGTACCTTGCCCAGAGCCTGACACCCTGCAGGCTATCCCAGCAGAAGAGCTGGCACCTGAGCAGAGCGCCGCTGGCCTCTGCCCTACCCTGGTACCTTGCTCAGAGCCTGACACCATGCAGGCTATCCCAGTAGAAGAGCTGGCATCTGGGCAGACCTCTGTTAGGCTCGGCCCCCCCTTTTTCCCTGTATCAGAGCCTGACTTACCACGGGTTACCCCAGTGCAAGAGCTGGCAGCAGGGCAGAGCGCTGCTGACCTCTGCCCCCCAAGCAACACCAGCAGTTTGCCTAGCTGCACCAGAGAGACCGAGAGTGCTGCGCTGTCCCACTACAAACTTGAACCTACAGGCCAGTACCATTTATTGTGGGGGGGATACTCTGCGTATTTTTCTTTGTGGGTGGGCTGCCCGACTAACTTAGGTACTGACCAGCAGAAGGTCAGGTACCTGTTTAGTCTTCCCCCCAAAGGGAAGATGTGTGACGAAGTGCCCTTTGCCACTTGTGCCTGGAGAGGACTAATTGCCAGCCTCCTGTCATGTGACTATGGTCCCTGGGAGACTTTGCCAGTTAAAAAGACTATTTGGGCTTATTGGCTTTTAAAAGACTGTTTCTGCCCTTTGATTCCATGGGAGCATGTGTCTCTTCCCCTCCCCCTCTAATACCTATACCATTGTTCTCCAGCAAGGCATTGTCCCAGGGACACTGCCAAACCATTTGAAACAAGCTGTTTTGTCCCAAATAGGACTTTTACCTAACTTTTGAACTACTGGAGGGAATTGTATGGTTTTTGGGTATGTTTATAATTAAAGTGTGCTGAGTTCGAATATGTGATTTTTATGTTTGTGGCATGTATATTTTGGAAGTTATTAATATGTTGCATAAAGTGTATTTGTCCTGCCTGTGATAAATTACATTAACCCATTGTGTTCAGTAATTATATCACAGGCAGAGGGGAGGGATTGTATGTTGGTGCTGGGTGTGTTTTACGGTTTGCCTGTAAAGGATTGGTTGTACTGTGTCCAACCCTGTGGGATGTCCCCTTGCATGGGGACTTGCATAAAAGCCAGTGTGTGGTCATTAAAAATCAGATCATCTTGTACCTTTCTTAAAGCCTTGGCTCATGTTTGGGGCAAGGGATACCTACACTCTGGGGATTGCTATAATCACTTACTCCCCAGAGTAAGCTCTTGCAATAGCTTGATTTGTTCCTGCTACGCTCTCTGGATTTATGAGCGGTTCACCCACTGGGAGCTGGATCCTGGTCGTGGATCCAGGGTGGGTGGAGTCGGCGAGACCCCAGCGCAGCTGTATCGCTGGAAGTGGGGTCTGCAGTGCTGATGGTGTCGGTTGGAGTGCTCGGAGTCCTCGGCAAGCGCTAGGAGCATCGATTGGCGGAGGTACTCGGTCGGAGTGCCAGCGTTCCGTCACATAACATCTCTATGGTTTATAATTGTGTAGAATTTCTTACTGCATGCAGAAGAACATTTGACACATCAAGCCATGCTAGCTCTGTAGGAAAACCCTTAATAAAAAAATAAAAATAAAAAAACGAGCAGGGCTCATGTACTGTTTCTGATTATGTTATTGAGCTCAGGGCCTTAAGCATCTGAGATTCGGTGTTATAATAATTCCCTGGTGACCGCTTCACAGGAGGGTTTATCAGACCGCATCTTGAATAAGCTAACAGCAAAATACATTCTTGATTACTTAAATAGTTTAATATACTTTTGTATACACATAGACAATCATAAATATAGAGAGCACACAACAGAGTGGGTTACCTTAGTGGCTATGTGGGATCTCTAAAAGGTGCTAAATTGTAATATGCATTTTATTGGTGCTAATTTTGGTTAAAGGATGTATAAATTACACTAGATTATCAATATGGTGTGCTATAGGTTTTTTTTTTTTCTTACGCATACACAATTGCCTGAGGTAGAGCAACTGATTGAATACATGTCCTGCTTTTTCAACTAAACTTCTTGCTCTGCCTCCTCCTGAACGCATGCAGCGACTTAACTATCAAAAGCAGAAAAAAACATTTAGAAGGAGGGAAAGATGCCTATACTGTGGGCAAAAAGGGCATCTCAAAAAGGAACCTCGTAGGAAAACTCTTGCACCTAAAGTCGATCAGATGGCCGGCCTTGGGTGTGATTATGCTATCTCATTCTCCTAGGTCATCCAGAATTTTTGTTCCTGACACTTTGAACATTAAACAATTTACTATTCCAGTTAACGCCTTAATCGATTCTGGTGCAGCAGAAAACTTTATAAATGTCACCTGTGCTGGTAGTTCTGCTTTACCCCTTATTCAAAAGTCAACACCATTGGCCATTGAAGCCATAGATGGTAGACCTTCATTCAAACCACAGATTACCCATGATAAAAAAAAAGTTTGCTCATGCCTGTTAAGGATCTGAATAGGAAAAACATATCTGTTTTCAGATTATCATTTCTCCTTCATGTCCCATAGAGCTGGGTTTTCCCTGGTTGGTTAAATAAAAGCCTGTCATTGGTAATCAAAAGACATTATTGCTTGGGGACTCACTTAGGTTAGCATTCATGGGAGAACTAATTAATATTGTACAAGTTTTGGAGGGACATAATCTGGAGGGGTGGGGGCAAGGGTAGAGTTGGGGTTTCTTTCTGGTGTGTATTACCATAAATGGAGGAAGGACCACACTCAATTTCCAATGGCCACTTTATAGGGTACTTTAGTTGAAGCAGGACCAAGAAATTCTTTGTATGAGCAATATCCAAAAAGAAGCGTCAAGCACTCACTGAGAACACATGCAGTAGTTTTATTGGATCATAATGCAAGGAGCAATATTTTGACCTAAACAAAGGTCTTTGTCAAGCTAACATTAGCTGACATGGACCTTTGTTTAGGTTAGAACGTTGCTCCTTGCATTTGATCCAATAAAACAGCTTTGCATGGGAACCCAGGGATTGTGTGTATGCATTGTGGGCCAGTTATCAGGTCGGTTGGACTCTTTCACACAGAGGCGGAGCTACTACCAGTGCTGGTGCACCGGGGCTTGCACACTAAAGGGGGCCATCAGGTGGCCCATGCACTTAAGACCACCCTGTCGGCATGGGTTAGTAAGGGCCAGGTTAGGCCATTTTAATATCAGCAGACTGGGAGGAAGTTAAAGCCTGTCACTTCCTCTCAGCAACAGAGGGGAGGGGAAAAGAAGGCAGAATGGAGGGGACAAAATCAAGAGTGTTCTACAATAAAAAATTGACAATTGATAGCGCTAGACACCTTTCTCATAGCTATATCTTTAGATTCTTCCAGAAAATAGCATTCTGTTATCATATTTTGAAGCCTTTGGGCAGTGATTTCCACACTTGTACCAACCTTGTCTTCTTGTAATGTGCACACATATAATTGTGAGACATTATGGTCAAAGGAACACTAAATCGTTAGAGATAAAAACCTGTCAATAGTCATAAAGATTTCCCCACCCGGTGTGTCCCATAAAAAATATATTAAAATGCTTTTTACGTATATTTTTCCAGTGCAAAGGCTCTCTCTGCTCTGCTCACCTCCTCCCCTCCCTCAACATCAAGGAGAAGGCATGGTCTCCTTTAGCATGGTCCAATCAAATGCTCCTAATAAAGGAGAATTGGGGACCTGATATGCCACGGGTGTATCCAAGCTTCCCAACAGAACAGCATTGAATTAATGCTGTCCTAGGAGGGTTGTTGTGTCATGTGACAAAATCTTAACAGCTACTGGAGGTGTGTTTAACCCTTGAATGGTTATCGAATGGTTAAATTGGCAGGACCACTGACTTTAGAGGTTCTTTAAAGCAATAGGTGCAGTAAATATTTTGTCCACTAGATGGCAACCTACTATTGTTTTATATATTTTGTGTAAAATGTCTATCACAAGTTTTAGTTGAAGCTGGACGGTGAACAATATTCAGTTAGCTGAAAAATATTTTATTGCTTGTACAAACATTTCTTGTAGCCATCCACTGTTATCTTTAACGGAAATGAAAAGTAGAAAAAAGGCCATCATATTAGAAAGATCGTTATGTGAGATAAAAGCCATTGCGGCTGACGTTGATACCACTGATATTTTTTAATTACATGATACTTAGCTATTTTTAAGGCCACTTGTCAAAGTTTGGAACAGAAGAAAACTGTTATGTGATTGACTGATGAACATTCCCTTCTAAATGGAACAAATATTACCTGGCTGTCTCCGTTAAGCTAACGTTCTAGAACTAGATTTTCAAGTTGACTGGTTGTAGTTAAAGCATAAATCTGGCAATGAGAGTGTTAATGGTGTTTTCATATCACGAGTACATATCGGAATGTTTCGGAATAAGGTCTCTATTCTGCTAGTGCAGTTTTGCTCTTCCCTATACTGCTAACACTAAAGAATGGTTTTACTGTGAATACCACATACTTGTGGGTCAGTTTACCAGGTTAACCTCTGTCGTAGATATTAGTTGACATCATATAAATAAATTATAAAAAAGCAAATCATGTGACTAACATTGCAGTAGGTTCATTTGAAGCTCATGACCTCATTTGTATTTCTGTTGAACCTGGCAGAATATCAGATTTTGTTTAATCGAAGGGAACTTTATCTCCTCTCCAGGATCCAGATTATTCTTCGAAAAATAGAAAAAAAGGGATTTCGGGGACACACAGTGAACATGTATTTCTACAGCTTTAACTACCAACAAATACTATATGAAAAATGCACATTAACGGAGTAACACACACAAAAATACAGTAAAAAAACTCACAAGACTACTTAAAATAACCTATGACTGCAAATAAATATTTTTTTACACAATATGATCTCACTGGGCTTAAGCCCACTAACTTGTTAAAGTACTCCAATATTGGTGGGTTGTGCAATAATCTTAACATGAGAGATAAACATGCCTACTGCAAATCTTACTGCCTAAACTTCAAGAGTTGCTCCTTAAATGTATGCTTTCCCATTTTTACTTCTAATGGGTCAACTCGAGTGAAAGTGTGGGGTCTCGATTTTCCATTTCATCATGCAATAATTTAGTTTATCATCTTTACATTTTACTTTTTTTTTTTTGACAATCTTTATTTTAAAATTTTGTTAATACACGAAAGAGAAATAAATGTAGTGAATAAAGTGATACAAGCTAAATATATACATTTTTGGAAAGAAAGACAAATAAAGAATAAATTATCATCTCATGTTTGAGCGTCAATAATTAAGTTAATAGTAAAAAAAAAATACCACATAGAGGCTAATTAAGAAAAGAGTATTTCGAAAAATACACTCTTTTCTTCATACGGGAATGTAAGCTACATGCCTTATAAGATACAAACAAAATGCTAGGAAGGAATGATAATTTAAGGTTAAAAAAAATCAATTAGTTATAACATTTAATGGTTAAATGTAAAAGGAAACTAATTAAATAGCCTTAAAGCTTGGTCTTACTCATCAACTTTGGGGTGTATTTTGTTTCCCCGAAGATATCACGCAGTTAGTTATTAATCTAATCTCATTTTACATTTCTGTTTCTATAGCTCTCCAGTGTGCAATATTGCTAGTAATTTGTTCTGGAATTTTTTCTCTCGTTTATACGTTTCTTATTTTTAAAGGGTTGGGTCCCTCAAGCATTGTGGTCTACACAAGGCAGTAAGTCCCCGACCACAACGCACTCTCCTGTGAGATCATCTCTGCCGGATACGTTCCTAATGGTAGTGAATAATTCCATGGATATTTGTTCTGTGGAGTTTTGTAACATTAAACCAATCAGTGATGACCCAGATATTTTATTTTGTATTGTGTTTTAAAGTTGGCAAAATTAAAAAATAAATA